AATCAAAACATTGAAATCCCAGTAAGTTGATAAATAGGAAAATTTAAAAAACAAGAATTTTAAAAATCCAAGAATTGAACAACAAAAAAATCTAAGCCTGAAAACTCGAACAGAAAATCGAATGATCGAGAACTCAAAACATCAAAGACAACAAAACATCTAAAATTTAAAAATTCGACAAATTGAAAAATCACGGAACTGAAAAATCGAAAAGTCGAGATAGTGAGAAATCTAAAAACCTAAAACTTTAAAAACTGAAAAATTAAAATTTCGAAAAATTTCAAAACCGAGAAAACACAATATCAAAAATTTGAAAAATAAAGAAACGAAATATTGCAAAATTCCAAAGCCGAAATATTGAAAAACCTAAAAATGGACGGAAAATTAAAGAATCGAAACAGTGAAAAAATCCCAAACTGAAACATTGAAAAATTGAGAAATGGAGAAATGGGAAAATTAAAAAAATCGGTCTAAAGAGTTTAGACAGTACTTCCCTCGCTATTGGAAACGTGAGGCCTGCATGCCTTTATGTTTTTTTTCACATTAGATTTCAAAGCATTCAGTTTTGTAGTTCCTGATTAAATCAATAAAATAAATTTGCGCATTCATTAAATTTTTTGAGTCACCCTGTATATCCGAATCCAAAAAATATGAATGGAATGATAAATTACAAGAAGAGACTCATCATATTTTGTACATTTTAAATAGGATTTTTTGGCAAACTTTTGAGCTGACGTCATCAATTTTTTGGAGGGGATAAGCAAATATATTTTGACTAAAAATTTATTATGCTCTTTATAACCTTAAAACATTTGCAAGATTTCAAAGCATTAGGTTCTGTAGTTCCTGATTAAATCAATAAAATAAATTTACGCATTCATTAATTTTTGGGGTTATCCTGTATATGCAAATCCAAAAAACATGAATGGAATGATAAATCACAAGAAGAGACTCATCATATTGTATACATTTTAGATAGGATTTATTCAGCAAAATTTTGGGGTGGCGTCATCCATTTTTTAGGAGGGATGAGCAAATATATTTTGATCAAAAATTTACCATGCTTATGAGAAATTTAAACCATTTACAAGATTTCAAAGCATTCGGTTTTGTAGTTCCTGATTAAATTAATAAAATAAATTTGCGCATTCATTAAATTTTGCTGATTGAACTGAGAAATCGAAAATCCAAAAGTTCATCAATCCAAAAAATTGAAAAGTAGAAAAATTGAAAAACTGAGATTTATAAATTAAAAATTTGAAAACTTAAAAAACCGAGAATTCAAAATTCAAAATTTAAAACACCGCAAAAATTGAAAAAGCAGACAATTGAGGAATCGAAAAACTGAAAAGTCAATAAACTGAGAAAAGTACTGAAAAATCAAAAATTTAAAAAGTCGAAAAATAGAATTATCGGAAGAACTGAAAACTCGAAAAACCGAGAAATCCAAAATCCAAAAGTTAAACAATCCAAAAAATCGAAAAGTAGAAAAATAGAAAAATTGAAGACATGTTGAAAAATCCCAAAATCCCAAAACCGAAATATCGAAAAATTGAAAAATAGAAAAACAGAGAATTTAAAAAATCGAAAAATTGAGCAAAGTACTGAAAAATCACAAAACTTAAAAAGTCGGAAAATTGAAAATTTGAAATGATGAAAAGTTGAGAAATCCAGAACTTTAAAAATCAATCGAAAAATCGAAAAACAGACAAATAAAAAATCCAAAAGTTAAACAATGGCAAAACTCGAAAAGTGGAAAAATAAAAATCTGAGAATTTGAAAAACCCAAAAATTGAGCAAAGTACTGAAAAATCTAAAACTTAAAAATTCGATAAATTGAAAAATAGAAATATGGAAAAACTGAAAAATCAAAAAACCGAGAAATCTAAAATCCAAAATTTAAACAATCGCAAAAATTGGAAAATTGGAGAAATGAAAAATCGAAAATCTGAAAATCGAAAAATTGAAAAACGGAAAAATATAAAATCAAAAAGTCTAAAAATCCAAAGATCGACTAATTGAAACATCAAAATACTGAAAAATTTAAATTTAAAAAATTCGATAAAATGAAAAATCGAAGAACTGAAAAATCGAAAAACCGAGAAATCTAAAATCTAAAATTTAAAAAATCGTAAAAGTTGAAAAGTCGGAAAAATGGAGAATCGAACACTTGAAAAAACCGAAAAATCTAAAGCCAAGAAGTCGAAAAATCTAAATATCGAGAAATCGAAGCACCATAGAATCGAAAAATTGAGAATTTAAAAAATTGAAAAGTTGAGCAAAGTACTGAAAAATCAAAAATTTAAAATGTCGAAAAATTGAAGAAAAGAAATATTAAAGAACTGAAAAATCGAAAAACCGAGAAATCGAAAATCCAAAATTTAAACAATCGCAAAACTTGAAAAGTCGGAAAAACGAAAATTTCGTAAGTTAAAAATTTTATAAATGGAATAACCGACATCGAAACATCAAAAAATTGTAAAATGTAAAAATAAGAAATTTAAATAATCGAAACATTGAGCAAAGTACTGAAAAGCCAAAAATTTTAAAAATCGAAAAATTGAAAAATAGAAATATCGGAAGAAATGAAAAATCGAAAAATCTAAAATACAAAATTTATACAATCGTAAAAATTGAAAAATCGGAGAATTGAAGAATCGAAAACCTGAAAATCGAAAAACTGAATACCTAACCGAAAAATCTAAAGCCAAGAAGTCGAAGAATCGAAAGATATCGAAACATTAAAAAAATAAAAAATCTAAAATTTAAATTCGATAAATTGAAAAATCGAGGAACTGAAAAATCCAGTAATTGAAAAGTTCTTAAAATTGAAATGCCGAAAAACTGAGAAATCGAAAAATTGAGCCAACTACTGAAAAATCAAAAATTTAAAAATTCGAAAAATTCCAAAACCGAAATATTGAAAAATTGAAAAATAAAAGAAAAATTGAAGAACTTAAAAAGTGAAAAGTCGAGATCGAAACATCAAAAAAAAATCGAAAAGTGGAACATCCAGAAATTGGGAAATTCTCAAAATTGAACTGCTGAAAAATTGAAAAATTAAGAAATCTAAAAAAAAATTATAAACCGAAAATCAAGATGTCGAAAAATCGGAACATCAAAAAATCGGAAAATCGGAAAATTGAAAACTCAAAAAATGGAGAAAAAAAAATCCAAAAATTGAGCAAAGTACTGAAAAATAAAAAATTGAAAAAATTGAAAAATCCAAGATTTGAAAAATCGAAAAATCGGAAAAACTAAAATTTCGAAAGTTGAAAAATTAAAATGTCGAAAAATGGAAAAATCCAGAAATTGAAAAGTTCTCAAAATTGAACTGCTGAAAACTTGAGAAATCGAAAAGTCGAAAAATTTTATAAATCGAATAACCGAGATCGAAACATCAAAAAATCGCAAAATCGAAAAATTGAGAAATCGAAAATCCAAAAGTTCATCAATCCAAAAAATCGAAAAGTAGAAAAATAGAAAAATTGAGGACATTTAGGTATGTTGAAAAATCCCAAAACTCAAATATCGAATAATTGAAAAATGAAAGAAAAATTGAAAAGTCCAGAAATCGAAACAAAAAAAAATCGAAAAATGGAAAATTCAGAAAGTAAAAAAAATCATGATTACTACTTTCAAGTCCAATGCTTGTTACGGGTATTTCACAAGTTTATTTTGTTGTGTGGACATCCAAAGGAATTAATATAGAAAAAAACGAAGAAATATGTAAAAAGATGGAACATAAACTTGGCAGATTTTACTTTGGCGCATTATTGCCCGAAATAATTGATTCAAGAAGAAAGAGGAACCTGCCTTTGCGAGAGATTTTTTTAAAATAAATAAAATTTGTTTCTATTTTTTTATGTACTTTAATAATTTATTAGGAGTACATTTTTCATCACCAAGACTTGCATATTTTTATTATAAATATATTTTGAAAATGATCTCCCGGCAAATGAAAACATATACGAGCACTTTTTTCGATTAAACAATGAAGGGAGAAGTTACTGAGCGTAGGGCTTTTTTAAAACACCTCGTTTCTGGGATAAGTAGTAGATACACTTAGCTACTTATACGTGTTAAACAAAAGCTGTATTTTATATATTTTTTATTATTATTATAAAGATGTTTATTAGTTTTATTAATTAAGAAAGTAAAATATATATTAACAATAATGTTACAATGAATTTTTAGTAATCATGTGTATTGAATTCAGGATCCTGAGTGGAGTAAAAATATTATAGTTCCTCAGTTTTAATTCGGTTTTATGATAGTACCTCATTGCGTAAAAGTTAATTTCCTTAACAATAGATTACTACGGCCGGTCCTGGCGGCTTGTTATAAAACTGAGTTCCTTGCCATAAATTAGAAAAATCAGCCGAGAACTCTAACAATCAGCTTTAGTGGCGCTCCTATCGGCAAAGTACTGAACTAACTGCTCAAAATCTGTCGAACTGATACCCATTTTTTTCAATAATCGTTAGTTTTTGTTAAAAACTCTGCTAACCAATAGATCATTAATTTTCCTCTGATATTCCTATTAAAATTATTCGACGTATTTTGCATTAATTTGTGGTATATTTTGATTTTAATAAACACATTATTATTTAAACAAATTGTACCACTAACAAACATTTAATGACTCTGCGCGCTGTAAAAAGTGATGTTTTATCCATGTGCGAATTTTCAAGCGATTCTATGATGGTTATGACTCAAAAAACTTGAAAAAAAAACATACAATGGTGCTTTTTTTACGATACTTATTTCTCAGCCATATTTTTTTAGTTGATTGAACTGGTCTCTGCGCTCTAGAATATGAAAAAAGCTGCAGTTTGATGTATGATACATCTATATTAATATCATTTTTTCATAGAAAAAACCAAAAAAATGTTATACCTCGTCTAGCGAGTCCCCCTTAATTCAATACAGCGTAGATTTAAGTTAGGGATGGTCGAGGCACTATTCAGCGCCAGGAACAAGCAGCACATCCTCTTTACCTGCGCTATCTGGTCGAATCTCCCGAACAATTCATTGAGTGTCTTCACCAGATCAGAAGCCGATAGTTGTTCCGAGAGCGGCGTGAAATTAACGATGTCGGCGTACAAGATGGAGACGTTATTGTGCCTCTGAACGTACATCTCGTGGAAGCTCCGATTGGAGTGTTCGTTGCAGGCGTCGGCCATCTTCAGCATAATGCTACGTTTCACCTGAAAATGGGGATTTTCTCGATGAGTTGCTATTGACAGGATTGCGGAGATGGTGTACACAAACACAAGTAATAAAAAATAAATAAGGGGAGGAAAAGACATCTGCGAAATTATATATAGGTAGTGAATGGAAATACCAGACATTTCTGGAGGAATTAAATTTAAAAGATTCATGCTTGCAATGTATATTGAAATTCTTCACTCCAGACAGGCATATCGTGACAGAAGGAGCGGCGCTCGACTTAGAAGCACAGTTAAATAAATTAGACCTCTTCCGGGTACCTTTAGGAGGGAGGAGATAAAGTGAATAAGGGTTGTTTTAGGGAATTTAAAAGGGTTCGGCGTGGGTGGCTGGTGGCCTGATTTCTACAATTATCGCCATGAGTGATAACGAGCTGAATAATTCAATACTGGCGATACAATCTGTTGAACTTCATACACATATCAGTGATACGAAGTTCTAGTGAGTACTTAAATTTTTTAATAGTCGCCCGGCTCCTCCACCATTTCAATTTATAAAACATTTGTGCGATTTTTGTTTTCTGATAAACTCTATAAAATAAAAACCGGTTTTTCGAATTTGAAACATTTCGAATCTTCAATTTTTCGATTCTTTAATTTCTCATATATGTATATTTGTTTCATACTTGAATTTTTCAATTTTTCGATTTTTCAGGTTTTCATGTCTTCAATTTTTCGATTTCAACTGTTTCGTTTCGGCTTTTTATTTTTTCTAGTATTCGTTTTTTCAGTGTTCTAATTTTATAATCTTTCATTTTTTAAGGATAAAATTTTCACTTTTTGGAATTTTCAATTTTTCGTTTCGGTTTTTATAATTTCTTTTGCAGTTCTAATATTTTCGATTTTTAGATTCTAAATTTTTCAATTTAAAATTTTTCATTTCTTCAAATTTTCGATTTGCATTCAATTTTTTTCAAATTCTCGACTTTTCAAAGTTCCGATTTTATATATATTTTTTCGATTTCAATTATTCTAGTTTTCGTTTCTTCAATTTTTCGATTTGCAATTTTTCAATTTTTCATTTTTTTTGTTTCTTCAATTTTACGACATGCAACTCTTCGAGGTTTCTTTTTAAATTTTTCAGTTATATGAGTTTTCAATTTTTAATTTTTCAAGTTTTCGTTTTCAATTTGCCATGTCTTCAATATTTCGATTTGCAATTTTTCGTGGCCGCTTTTTATTTTTTCTATTTTTCGTATTTTCAGTGTTCTGATTTTATAATTTTTCGTGTTTTAAAAGTAAAATTTTTCATTTTTTGGAATTTCTAATTTTCTGATTTGCAATTTTTCAGTTTTTTCAATTTTTATAATTTTTAATTTTTCGTATTTTCAGTATTAGATATTTCGGTGTCATCTTTTAATTTTTCCATTTTTCAATGTTTCGGTTTCATAACTTTTCGTTCTGTCGACTTTAATTTTCTCAATTTCCAAATTTTTCCATTTTTTTTTTGTTTCTTCAATTTTACGACATGCAAATTTTCGAGTTATCATTTTTAAATTTTTCAGTTTTCAATTTTTCGCTTTGTAATTTTTCGTTTTGGCTTTTTATTTTTTCTATTTTTCGTTTTTCAGTGTTCCGATTTTACAATTTTCTTTGTTAAGAGTAAAATTTTTCACTTTTTAGAGTTTTCAATTTTTCGATTTACAGATTTTCGTTTCTGGTTTCATAGTTTTTTGTTTTTGCAGTTTTAATATTTTCAGTTTCTAGTTTTTGAAATTTTTCGATTTAAAATTTTATATACATTTGTTCAAATTTTCAATTTGCAGTTTTTTGTTTGAGATTTTTACTTTCTTCATTTTTACAATTTTTCGATTTTTCAGAGTATCGATTTTATATATTTTTTTAATTCAATTATTTTAGTTTTTCGTTTCTTCAATTTATCGATTTCCAATTTTTCAATTTTTCATTTTTTTTTGTTTCTTCGATTTTGCGACATGCAAGTCTTCGAGATTTCATTTTTAAATTATTCAGTTTTATGAGTTTTCAATTTTTAATTTTTCAGTTTTTCGTTTTCAATTTGTCATGTCTTCAATTTTTCGATTTGCAATTTTTCGTGTCCGCTTTTTATTTTTCTATTTTTCGTATTTTCAGTATTCTGATTTTGTAATTTTTCGTTGTTTAAAAGTACAATTTTTCATTTTTTGGAATTTCCAATTTTCTGATTTGCAATTTTTCGGTTTTTTCAAATTTTCAACTTTCAACTTTTAGAATTTTTAGTTTTTCATATATTCAGTTTTAGATATTTATTTCAGTTTCATCTTTTAATTTTTCCATTTTTCAATTTTTCGTTTCTTTAATTTTTCGATTTGCAATTTTTCAGTTTTTCATTTTTTATTGTTTCTTCACTTTTACGACATGCAAGTTTTCGAGTTTTCATTTTAAAATTTTTCAGTTTTTCAATTTTCCAACTTTTGAATGCTTCGAATTTAATATTGATATTTTTCGACTTGAAATTTCCCGAGTTTTCAATTTTTAATTTTTCAATTTTTCGATTTTTCAATTTCCTTGTCTTCAATTTTTCGCTTTATAATTTTTCGTTTCGGCTTTTTATTTTTTCTATTTTTCGTTTTTCAGTTTTCCGATTTTATAATTTTCTTTTTTAAGAGTAAAATTTTTCACTTTTTCGAATTTTCAATTTTTTGATTTACAAATTTTCGTTTCGGTTTTTATAGTTTTTGTTGTTGCAGTTTCAATATTTTAAATTTTTAGATTTTGAAAATTTTCGATTTAAAATTTTTCATTTCTTCAAATTTTCGATTTGCAATTTTTTGTTTGGGGTTTTTACTTTCTTCATTTTTACAAATTTTTTATTTTTCAGACTACCGATTTTATATATTTTTTAATTCAATTATTTCAGCTTTCGTTTCTTCAATTTTTCGTTTTCCAATTTTCCATTTCTTCAATTTTTCGATTTGCGATTTTTCGTTTCCACTTTTTATTTTATTCACTTCTTCGATTTTTCAGTGTTCTTATTTTATAATTTTTCGTTTTTTAAAAGTAAAATTTTTCATTTTTTGGAATTTTCAATTTTCTAATTTGCAATTTTTCGGTTTCCAATTTTTCAACTTTCCACTTTTAGAATTTTTCAATGTTTCGGTTTCATAATTTTTCGTTGTATCAACGTTAAGTTTCACCATTTCCAAATTTTTCAATTTTTTGTTTCTTCAATTTTTCGATATTATAATTTTTCAGTTTCCTAATTTTTAATTTTTCGATTTTTCAATTTTCCGTTTCCTCAAGTTTTCAACTTCTTAATTTTTATTTTTCACTTTCTCGATTATTTTATTTTCGTTTTCTCAATGTTATATTTTCATTGTCTCGATTTTATATCACTTTTTCTTCGTTTTCTTTATTTTTTTAATGTTTCTTTCGATTTGATAATTTTTCGTTTATTAAATTTTCCAAATTTTTAAATTTTTCAATTTTGCAATTTTTTCAAAGCTTTTATTTTATTCTTGTTCGTTTTTCATTTTTGATTTTTCAGTTTTATAATTTTGCAATTTTTTTAATTTTTTTTATCCGAAAAGTTAAAAAATCCAAAAATCGAAAAATCGAAAAATTAAAAATCGAAAAACTAATAAATAAAAAAATTTGAAAAATCGAAAAATTGAAAAAACAAAAACATACAAAATCAAAAAAGTGGAGAATCGAAAAATTGCAAATCCAAGAAATGCAGAAACAAAAAGATCTGGAAACTCGAAAAAAATTAATGAATCAAAAAATTGTAAAATCGCCAAAATTGTAAAGTTGAAAAACTAACATTGAAAGATCGAAAAATTCAAAAATGGAAAAATTGTAAAATTGAAAATGTGAAAATTTTTAAAGATTATAATTATTTTTACATATTTAAATGAAAACTAAACAAATTTCAAATCAAAATTGACGAAATGAAAAATTAAAAAACCGAAAAACTGAAAAATCAACAATAAGAAAAATTCACATTGAAAAAAATTAAGAAATTAGTACAATGAATACGAAAAATTGAAAAAATAAAAAACAAATCCGAAACGAAAAATTACAATTCGAAAATTTAAAAATCGAAAAGCTGAAAAATTAAAAAAAAATTAAAAATATTAAAAATTCTCGTGAAATTGCAAATCTAAAACTTGAAACATCCAAAAGATCGAAAATAGAAAAACCGAACAACTAAAACTTGAAAACTTGAAAAATAGAACCAAAAAAATGAAAAATTGGCAAATTTCAAATCGAAAAATTGATGAAATAAAAAATTTAAAAATTGAAATTGAATAAACAGAAAATTATAAAATCGAAACATCGGACAAATCGAAAAATTGTAAAAATAAGAAAATAAGAAAATAAAAAACTGCAACAAAATGCTGAAAATCGAAAATTTGGAGGATGGAAAAATTGAAAAACTAAGACTAAAAAATTGGAAAATTGAAAATTGGAATAAATGAAAAAGTTTTAAAATACAACAATTTTTCGATTCAATTCGTTTTTCTTCCTTCTAATTTTTCGATTCATTAATATTTTTCAGTTTTGCAATTTTTCGATTTTTAATTTTTCAATGTCCCAATTTTTCCATTTTTTAACTGTTCGAACCAAAAAAATTGAAGAATTGGAGAATTTTAATATTCAAACATCAAAAGTGAAAAAACTAAAAAGTACAAAATGAAAACTTTGAAAAATCTAAAACTGGACATCAAAACTTTGAAAAACTGAACAAACGAGAAATTGAAAAATCGAAAGATTAAAAATTGAAAAATTAAAAAACTGGAAAATCCAGGAAATGAAAAATCAAAAAATTACACGATCGAAAAACAAAACATGGAAGAAACGAAAATATGAGAAAATGGAAAATTGTAAACACGAGCAATCTTTGAGAACGGGAAATTGTAAATGAAAAAATTGAAAAGTGGAATAAATGAAAAAGTTTTAAAATCCAATAATTTTTCGATTCCATTCGTTTTTCTTCGTTCCAGTTTTTCGATTCATTAACTTTTTTCAATTTTTAAGTT